TATACATGAATTAAGTGGCACGTGATTCAGCTACATGTGAAATATTAATTAATGAATATGTATCTGTTAACATTGCCAACAACCTAAGTAGACTAGCGAACTAAAAGATGCTCCTCAATGACCTACACAAGCTGATTCAATCGAACAATACATACATGTATATTGTAGGCATCACAAGCTCCCACAGGTATCGCAGTCTCTTACACCACCATCTGGAAACGCGTACTCTGGTTATACGATACATTTATTCCGTATGGTCAATCGGAATGTTCACTCCAACAAGTATAATAAGTTTCATTACGGAATCAGATTAGGGTAGTAAATCTCTAGAATATGGTTCTAAAATATACAAAACAAAATAGGGAAACTATAACGAGATATTCAAAGTAATGTAAATATTACATATTAGATAATGACTAAATACACATTATAGTTAAACCCTAATTTTGTATTAATCTGTTAACCACATGATTAGGAATATTACCTCATACTTGTAATCGGTTCCGTGTCTGAGATATTGTTGATTTTGTTCAGTTTCCGCCTAGTTAGTTTTTTGTGCCCCATTTTAACAAACTTTCATAACACTGTATGTTTTTTTTTTCAAGTTTATAGTACCGATGTACATGAATAAATCTGCAAAATGTTATTTTTAGATGAAAAAGACTCCCGATGCCTTAAATGATTACTTCTAAACAAATACGTGTGTTCCTAATAGTTGTTACATTAGACTCAGCAATAACACTTTCTCACGTGGTTTATGACGACAGAGTTTCGTCTTTCGCATGTCCATCTTCATGAAACAACTGTAGTCCCGTATTCCTTACATGTTATTTCGTGCCGTCATTTTTGGAACTAATAATGTGACGTAGTGAGGTGGGAGTCTTCTTTGTCGTGGTCGTCTGTTTGAACTTTATTTGTTGCTCGTTTATGTGTTTGTAATTATATTTGATGTCACCCCACTGACTACGTAGACAAATGATTCAGCTGGCCTAACGTTTGTACACGTGCGTGACTCCTTTGTTGTACAAATTTGATAGAAGTCGAATGGTGATTGTTAATAGTTTGCAATTTCCACGAACACCTGAGAGGATGCAATATTTATATTAATTTCCTATATACCTATGATTGAAACAGATTTATCTCAAGTGGTCACCACCGACGCTTAAAAACGAACCCATTGTACTGTAAATGCACTATTTACTCACTGGGTTTTAATTTCACTGTTTTCGCTGATATGTACAATCCACTAATTAAAACCGTGTGAACATGTGAAATAACAATTGAAATTATTTCACTTGCAAATTCGTGAACTTAAAGCTCAGCGACAATGCTCAAACTATACAAACAGTGAAATTAAATGGTTCTACCGTACTCTGGGAACAGAGACTGGAAATTTACAAGCATCCCCTACAAAGTTTATTATATTTATGTACATTCTCAGGATGAATTCCAGCCCAGGTACGGGCATTTAATTTTTAGAATGGCCTTTGTATTTTACAGTTCAATGCAATAATCACAATGTCATTTTCAGTTATAGACAACCAATTTTAGCAAACACAAGATTTTCAAGTAAGGCAATTTGCATAGATCTAATTTGAATATTGTGAAATTTCACTGAAACTTTAATTATACGATCGCGATTTATGGCTTAAAAAACGAGATATTATTGATGTGAAGGCAATTTTAATATCCTGTTATGTTCTACTTATAAGATAAAAACAAATATAATATTTTACTGAAGATATCGTCCCCCGCTTGAATCACTTTCATAATACAAATTAAAAAAAAATATTATTTGTTTTAAAACAACATCGCGCCCGAAACGAACTGAGTTAAAAATAACATCTGAATCGCGAACCACATACAAACTGATAGGTTAAAATTTAAGTGTTACTTTAAATGGGCTCAAATGATTGATTGTTGTTGTATTCAGTCGAGATAGAGAACTAAATCGCGACAACTATGAAATACTTTCACAATTCAGAAGTTATAAGTAGCTGGCAGTGTAGAGTTTAGAAGCAGTTAAAATTGTTTTATTGTTAATGACAATTGTTTCTATTGTTGGTATTATCTTTTGAAAAAGTACAATAATTCCACCAGTTGGTAACTTAATTAGTAATTAATCGCGGATAATCTCTGTCCCGATTGAGTAATAAGGCGATTTACAAGTCAATATGTCCTTTACTGAAACTAAATTTTATATTTTGCTGCGGACTTAGCAGTTATAAGCTATTTACTAACAGAATACCTCTAATACGGTTATAATGTGTTTCCTCGTGAAACAATAGCTATTTTGTTGACAGCGTTTTCTAGAAGTTAATTATTTGAAAACAAAAATTGACAGGGATAAAATGTACATGTACCACTATTCGATTAACATCCGAAAAGAGTCCGACCGGCCTATTTGAGAATTTTTTGACCTGCCGCGGACAATCTTACTAAAGCAGTGTTTTCAACTTTGGCACGTTACACGATCATATACTTATCGGACGAAATTGTGTCCGATTAATCTGATGGTAAAATTTGTATTTACATGGTCAGATTTGTCACATCAGATCAGATTAATCGGACGCAAAAGTTCAAGTACGTCCGATTTTTTAAAAAGTCATACATCAGATTTTGCGGTTTACACGACGCGATAATTCCGATCGTGTAAATAGGCTTTTTCGGGTTTCTCAATACAGTTTCCCGAACGCTGTGAGTTCGAAGTTGACACGCAGGAGATTTATTTCCCATGAGAACAAATTTTATCACCCGAGTCCTATGGGGTAAATCTTAAACTGTCGTATTTTCCCAATATGTTCGTGGTCTTATTTTTTTGTAGTTCTACACATAAACACTGTTTCACTATCTCGATTTTAAAAAAAAATGCAAAAGTCGTATTTTACTTTTTCCCTATAAAGCCTCATGTATTAAATCCATACTCGATATGCTGTAATATCGTGTTTATTTCAACCTTTACGTTGCAACGATGATTCAAATATGACATTGTACAATAATAAATAATTAATTCGCTTAATATATATATACAACAAAGATGTTCCTGAAACTGTATTCAGCGAATCTTAAACAAATTCTCAAAAGCTACGGAAGAAAACCCATTGCTCAAACGTCTATTTTTAATAGTTACTCGAGACAACGATTACCAAATACTAGCTTTATAACACTGATTCATATAATACATACAATTTTTAATACACATTTAGCTCACTAGATTTTTAAAATTTATGTGTTACTAGGTACTTCTGTACAAATTTTTCCACAATAACCTGTCGAAAATAAATATGCAAATAGTGATACCTTAATCGGAATTATATTTCATAAACGTTTTTAAACACAGTAGCATTTTCGAATGCAGTATGCACAGCTCATTAGCCCGTGCTGAGAAAACGCGCGTGAACGCTTAGGGCTAAGAAATGATAAGTACGGATTGAATTCAGCCCGTTTTAAAGACCTGGTCCCGATCCTTAGAATGGACTAACAACGTGTGCGAGAAAGCTCAGCACGGGCTAAGTGACCAAAACGCCATTGTATTCAATATTCATTTGGAAGATTTATCATTATAATTCATAACTATTCGTTTCAGTTTGCCATTTCCGACATGCCAATCAATGCGAGCGCAACTAGAAATATTGTTCTCGAGAAAACTGACAACAGGACTGTGTTACCTGTTATTCTGCAATCTTCACTTTCACAATTTGCTTAGGTAGTGTTTTATAAACATAGAACTAACACGTATACTTTCCGAGTTACTGTCCTGAGTAATCATAGTTAAAAAGACTTAAGATTTGTTTATATGTTTAACACGTTTGGGCGTTCGTTTGCCCGTGCTAACCACTGTTTCCTCCCGCGCGCGAACGCAATTTGATCTATCCAGTATGCAAACATACGAGGTTAGCTTAAATCGTAGCCTGCACGTAATCGTAGCGTGAACACTACTAATATAACCGGCTGAATATCATGGAAACTCAATTTGCTAATCCAAATATGTCAAGTAAATAAATAAAAATGTTCGGCTTTACACGGTCCTGTCTTTGACTTGGAAAGATTTTGCCAACGATGCATATATGTGTTTTATTACTTTTGCTCGATACTTAATACTGTACACTAAATCGGACTATGAATTGCCATTATATTATTAGTTAGATGAAAATTAGGAATCGCCAATACGCACGTGATGTGATTGTTATTGCACACACCAAAACAACCGATGCACATGCGTATACGAATACTCAGATGTATGTTACAAAACGGCTTTTCATGTCGTGACAAATCATAGTATAGTATCAAACAACCTTACTAAAAGTTATATTCTTTGGTCCATAAAAAATCCTTAAACGAGAAAAAAATACAGAATACTAAGTCTAGTATTATACTTATATCAGAATGACAATTTATAAGTATGCCAACCTATTTTCCCCCAAAAGCTGTTCGCCAGTAATGTTGATTTCGTTAATGAACTCAACATCTTTCGTTTTTCTCAGAACACACACAATATAGGATGGTAGATGTCAGATAAACACTTGTGTGATATAAATCCGCATATATAATTGTTACGTCATTTCAACTTCTTTCAACCTTAACTTTCCTGAGCACAGAAAGTTGTTTCATCCACGTGTAGTGTTGATTATGAGTATGTATGTTTAAAGGGTACCCCGAAACCGTAAATATAGCAATAGAGTAAACTAACTGTAAATAGTGTTCATTGTACGACAATATTGTATGCAAATTAGCCAGGACAATCTACGATGTCGTGAATGCGCTCTCATGAAAGAGTCAGTTTTTAGCCTTTAAGAGCTGCGAAACGGATGTATGGGATTAACAGGAACACGTGCATACTTGTAAGGTAATTTTCAGTTGTTCTTCGCCAAATGGCTCGCAACAAATCAAAATTAATACACTTGTTTAATAAATCTGACATTGGATATTTAAATATTGAGTGGAACATAATAAAAATGTGCCCCATTTCCCGGACTACGAAAAAAACAATACAAGATCACTTGATGTTCGAGGATATAAATTTAATTAATAATTCAGTTTTTAAACACCATATATAGATATATTGCGACAGGTCGGAACTCTGCGGCACGTGACATGTCACCAATATTTGGACACATTTACCATACCGTTTGTCATAATTTGTTACCAGAAATTAATTTAGACGAAATTTCCGAAAACACATAACATTAACAAAAGTTTGTAATAAATTGAAACAGAATATTAGTGTATGACTAGTTGATTGGTTCGGTGACGTAATCCCATTGTTGTACATGAATGAGCCACTTAAAAAGAAAACACACACTTTTAGGCACACGTGGTATGCGGTGACGTTTGCTACTCGTTAGTTAGGAGAAACTTATTATTTAAAATTCGATTTAAAAAAAGAGATTGAATAACATTCTTTTTTTTTGGCGTAGTCACATGTATTTCCGGACTATTCGTAACTATGTAATTGAGATGCTTTGCTATTTGGTTTGTTCTTTTACTGTCTTGGAGAAATGTATTTCATAATTTGTACATTGTACAGCGTATTATAAGAAAGATTCGTAGTCCACACTCGTATATCCAGAGGGAACGTTACGTTTAAAAATAAGTGAATCGTGTAAACAACTGCAAACCAACAATGATTTCACTAATGACCTTGAATATACAATATACAAATTTAAATGTTATTCTAAGAGTGGTGGAAAGGGAAGTCACTGGAAAAAAAACCCAGCATCATACGTCTTAAATCTTTAGCTACGAACCATTTGCATTGACCGATAATATCAACTAGGAATACGTGGATAGCAACTATAAACGACTACCTGATCATAATTAAAATATTAACATGCAAATGTAAATTATGTTTAGATTCATATTTTTGGTTATGTCGTTGCCATTATTTATTTATATCTAGTGCTAGTTTAAGACACTGTGTTGCCTCGTTCAACCTAAACTGAAATGTACAATACGATTTCGAAAACGCTTCTTCTATTCAAACAAAACACTTTATGCGATCCGTGTTATATTAATCAAAGCACAGTTCGTATTATACACATTTCTTACATTGTAAGACATTGTTGTTAAATCGAAGTCATTGTCTAGCTTTTTTTAAAACAATAAAATAACTGAATTGAGTTGTTTTCTTCTTTCATGGATTACAAAATAAAAAAATCAGCCTCCGGTTGCAGTTGAACACTTATTGGTACCGTTTGAAAAATTGCTGGAGAAAGCGGTTGTACTCATCTGAAAAGAAGAACAATGCATTTTTTGTTACTGCTTTCACTAATCAAATAAAATGTATGTGAATTATTTGAAGACTGATATCACGATGTTATGCAAGTATTGTTACGCACTTCGAAAGTAAACAAATACACACATATGACTAATTCAAATATATACGTGAAATATTCAACTACCTTCAAAGTCTTTGTCCATTTCAGAAGGATAACCTATTTCTTGAAGTGTACCTTCATATGATCTACCATACCTATAACAAATATTAATTCAGATTTAACTACGTTAAGAATTCGATGAGACTACGGCATGGTGTAAATGGCACGTATACTGGTCATATGTATCCTGCTAAACAGAACCCCATTTAATATGAATATCGGCGACGTGCAACATTTATTTCTTCGTAAAGTTTCTCTTTTGCACGCCTGGCTAATTGATTTAAATATTTTATGTAATTAAAAGCTTAGGGAATGTGTTTGAATATGCGCGAGACACGTGTCAACAACATATCCAAATGATCACGCGCCGGTGGACATGCGCAGATGTTGCCAAATTCACAGGTAGCGAGGCACATATGGGAAATTATCAGTTGCACCAGTTTTCGTCAAACATCTTCCTTCGTATGTCAAGCCTGTTTGCAAAGGGCGTGCACTCAAATCATGGTAAATAATGACAGTTCTCGATGTACGTTATTAGCTGTCCGCGTGTATCACCGAGATATGACGCCTGCAACAGATCATACAGGGCAGTTTGACGGATGCGCATCAAAAGCTAATAACGTCGCTATTGTGAAGTGATTTGCGATCTTCTATTTAGCTTCACATTTTTGTCAGTCGGTCGGTAATCCGCTGCCCTTTGATGTATAAATACTATTCTGAGGACTTTTTTGTATAGCTAGTGAAATTAAAAAAAAAGTGTCGCCAAGCTGCTCCTGGATAATCACCCCGTTTGCAAATAAAACGCATCTGCGTAGTATTCATGCTTAATAACGCATTAGAAAGTATACAATAAAAAAACGCCAAAGATACCTTTGTTTGCCACAATATCGCAGGTAGCTGACAACATCTGAGACGTATTCTGCTAACGACTGTTTGTTGCCCTTTTGCGGTTGATTGCCGCATACAATATTGCCAGCTACTTGACTGATGATTAAACTAGCACAGACTGTGAGAAGGATTATCGGACAGCTCTTCATTGTATATATGATGAGATTATCTAGTTATGCGGTAGAAAACAGGAAATATTAGCAAAATTATTCCTTTGTGTGTTGCGCCAATTACAGCGGATTGGCATGCCCCTGCGTCATACGCGTACATATGAAATGACGGCCATCAATATAAACTGTATATTAGGACAAGAGCTCTTACAACTAGACTTTTAAAAGAAACAATTGCTGAGAATTATTATAGGATTATTGGGTATGAACGATATATTATACACTGTTAGGAGTATATAATTAGTGTATAATACAAATACACATGCAGAAAGAATATTCAGAATTCGTGAAACAATGCTTAAAGATTTCGAAACATTAACTACCAACAAATGGAAATTACTACAAGAGAGCTTGTGTACTTATTATTTGCAGTATGCTAAGGTGAAATGTCGTAACATTAAATATTACTGCAACATGATATCGGCTATGGGACGGAATGTTTTTCGGACAATTGAACAAATTACAAGAATTTGTGAAATTATGATAATCTGTTGTCAGTACAGATTATGATTAAATTATAAGATTATATGTTTATTTATGTTTTATTTAAAGACGGAATTTTAAGTTACAGCAATTATCGTGTACTTTGCATCAGCGCCTTTTAGATACGTTACTCATGTAATACATTATTCACAGAGTAAATAGAAATAATACAATTATAATTAGTCTTCATGTACACACCAGAAGAGGAAGTCTTCAATGTAACATACACGTAGTGTTAATTATGATTTTGTAAATTTATAAACTGGCAGTTGGAATCAGGCAATCGGGTGTATATTACATAAATCTCGTTAGTGTGTTTTAATGAATTCTTCAAATACGTTGTAGCCATAGTATTCAGAACTTTGTAAGTCATAACAGCCCGTAAAAGCCAAAGCAGTTATCCACTGGGATCATTGTATCAGTCCTCCTCAAAGAAAAATCTTTTCAACCCTTTATTTATAGAATGCCCAGTAAATTATATTTAGAGGTGTTGCGCCAAACTGTACAATAACTAGGAAAATACATGAAAATAATTACCTTAAGAGAACAAAAAGATACAAATTGTCTGATACAATTATTCCAGTTAGCTAAGCTTTTGACATTAATTTGTCAATACGGGCAACCCAATTCAGAACAACGTGTGATGTCCTACATTGATCCGTATTGTCACGTGGTCCCCGGTAGTGAGATTTAAAAAAAGAAAGTTTTTTTCAAAAAACAAGTTATTTTTAATAACCCATTTAGAAATGTGGATTTTGTATTCGTATTATATGTATTTTTCATCACTGTTAACATGTTTTATCCAGAAATAGAAAAAAAGTGTTTTAATCGTCTGCTCATAGTCAATGTGAGATTATTCATGAAGATCAAACACTAACAGAAGCCCAAGAATGAAAGCCAGCGGTGTATTTGATTGGTATCTTTTTAGAATGTGCATCCCTATAACAAACAAATTGATTACTGATGTCCATGTAAAAGTGAAACCATCTTAGTGACTGAGTACCGTACTTAATATATATGTACTACGTTGCTCCGGCGACAGGAAGCTAGTTCGTGGAAACTGAAACTTTAAAAATCTGAAACAAAATCCGTATTTTAATCAAAGCATCCCACAATTACGATTGATACACAGAGCGTTACTTAGCGTTACACTACAGAGGTTAGAAATAAACATTGTCAATATAAGATGATTTGTTTTCAAGGTGACATAACTTAAAAACATTGGTTTGTTTTATTAAGATTACTGTAGTCGGAATTTTGATTTTATCCCCAGAAATATCAAACACGGATCAACCCGTATAGCTTAAGGGTAATATTAGTGACTAAAGTTAACAATTTCCTAGCGATCAAATACATATCTGAGCTAGGTGCTTGTACTCAAATTCGCTAGTAGACCTACAAATATATACATACACAAGCTGGTATATGAAAACCGATTAAAAAAGTAAAATCGCTAATAGTCCTACACATATACAAACTGATATATGAAAACCGATTAAAAAAGTAAAATCGTTCGTTGAGCAATAATTTAAGCTTATTAAAGTTAAAGGGTATTCAATATATTGCGAGGTACAGCTCCGTTAGATAAAAATATATTACAAATAAAAAGGTCAAGCTCTAAGACTTGAGAAGAAGTCCAATGTGTGATATAACGACAGTGTCCGCGCATTTTTGTAATTCTGTATGACATGACTTTCAGTAAAATATAATGTTTGTTCTGAAGTTGTCAGGCATATTGTTAAAATGATCAACTTGTGGTTAATTTCGATTGCAAATTTATATTTACATACGAATATGACAGATATTACTGACTTAGGGTGAAATGGTGTAAAGCGAGTTATAATATTCAAAATTTCACGAACGTCTATAACATTTGGACAGTGTGCGTAAAATTTACGATACGTTTGAATACTTTTCTTTGTTTAATTTAAACGCAGCAACAATGTAACGTGGGCCAAAAATATAATCACGCCATCTTTTGCTGACATTTCTAGCTGTTATACCTTACTAAATTGTGACAGTAAGACGTCGCATCAATCTACGTTAAAGCATCAGTCGATACGGTCGTTTTACATTTTGCGTTCATCATAATCAGCGAAATATTCGTAATAACTAAAAACCTCAGACTAATTTTATGATAAAAACACAATTATGTAACAAAAAGACACAATAAGAACGCTTGTGGGGTAAATCTGCTTACTACCCGACTCGGTGGCTGACCTGAAATTGAGATTGAATATCAACGTCTACCCTTAAAGTGCCATCCACCATGATGGAATACGTTACATAACACACAACAACAATGAATAGTTTTCACTAGCCGTTGAATTCAATCACAACCGTCAGTGAAATTAACCGACCGGGCTATTTAAATGTAGTGTTAGTGGCGGATATTTACGGGAACTCGTTTATGAAATGATTTGGCAAACATTTCGAGATTGAACCGAGGATAGGTAAGAATGGAAATAGAGGTAAGGGGTTTCTTACCTTGTTACATGCACTACAGTTTCCTATGATCTTTCTTCTAACTTTAAGTCAACGGCTGTATAACACTCTTGCTTCGTCTATAAAGACATCTGCTCAGCTCCGCCAATCTATCGAAGAGGTAAGAACAAGATCGGTATTTACTACTAATTGGACGATAGCAGGAAAGACTTATATATACTGGAAATAATAAGTTATCTATTCAAATGTAAATATATACCGATATAATGAGAGATCAGCAACAGTATAATGAATTATTCATGCCATTAAGTTCGCTTTTCCCTCACCTGATTGGTTAACGGCCAGGACACATGTCCCAGCAAGAAAACGGATGTTAGGGCAGTGACGACACTGTAGGACACACCGATAAAACGTGTATGACAATTAATATATCGGATCCTCACATATTTCTCCGTATTTGTCCTATTCTCTGCGTCTTACCGTAAATTACCAATGCTTTAATCAGCCACGTTTCGCGCAGTATAGAAAGGATGTCAGTGACAGGCGCATATGCGAGCAGCATCCTCGAACAAAGTCGTTTAATCACACTCAATGACGAACAGATGTCAGCGCGCCTGGCCACATGATATATTTTATCTATATGATGGAATTAAAGGAAACTCCAAATTAACCGTTATTGACACCTGCGTTTTTTAAAACATCGTTGTATTAGAAGAATTCGATGAATGGGCTTAAGAAATAAATTATTAATTGCTTTTAGGGAGGATTGAAAATGATATAGTTAATCACCCGGCACAATAGACACGCTGGCCTATCTATCATGGACACAGCCGTTTAATGACATCTTTAAGAAATATGTAGTTCAATAGAATCTTCAAATCATTATGACAGACACTTTGGCACCATTAGCCTGTAGAATGTCGCATATACATACATTAACGACCAATATTCAACACGTCCGGCTGCCAGTTCAATGGAGTCAACAAGTCAAAGAAGAAACCTTCGATCCAAGGAGTAAAATATGGAGCCATGTATTTCTCGCAGAAAATGTGTGACCCAGTTACAGTTAGTATCATACATTCATGAAAGCGACGCTCCTTCCACTATTTTCCTTAAAAAGTATATTATGTGAACAATTTAAGAATTAATGAATAAAGCAGTCAGAAAAAAAAACCCGTACCGAATGTATGCACCAACCCACATCAGTTTCGTAGTATGACGTCAACACACGCTATATTTACAAATCGGCTGCGATTCCACGCGAATCGTAAGTCGAGGGAAATAAATTCTTACATTTGCACACGTCATGTCGTCACTTGTCGAACAAATGTTGCGGGAGTTTGAAATACCGATCAGGAACACTTTTTATAATGAATTGAGTTACATTACGTCATCACTGGCTGTCAGTTTGTTGTACATGTAACTGTAACAATGAGAGCAAATTCTGAAAGATTGGATATAGCAGATAAAAATACACGTATTGTAACATTGTTTGCCCATTTTGGATTCTAAGGCGGATTATGCCGGAAACAAGGTAAAATCCACAAGAATATACATTGTGTGTCGCGAGACGTGCACTAAGCTAATACAAATTTACACCAGAATTACATTATCTGACTTAACATTTGTATTATTTCTTTGGGAAAGATTACACACCCTACGTTTCTGACACTGGTAATGTTTTTTTCATCATGATTCGAATCATAAACTGTATAGACGACTTTAATGACAACCATGTAAATGTGATATTTCATTTGAAGTAACTTATGAGATGTTTATCTATGCATATTAATTTTAATGAATCTGATTGTAATTGACTGTCTTGTTTTTTTAAGGAGACTCATACAAATGAATGGCATACAGAGTCGTTAGTAGTCTAATTGCACGGCAAAGCGCCCGCCATTGTAAGTTTACCCATACCTCACTACGCTTCACTAATCGTCCAACAAACTCAATGGTAAAAGTAAGCAAAATCTGGACACTTTTCTTACGATTTATTTAGTATTATGGATATTCGATGGAGGAGATTTGCTCGTTGCAGCTACTAAAGCATGTACTACATGACATGACAATACAATCCAACTTATAAACCAACCAGGCTTGCACATCGAAACGTTGAATATGAATATCTTTGAAGTGTGTCTCAGTTTTACGTTTCTATCAATACAGTGTTGATGGGAAAACACTTCAAACATTTCAATACATTGTATATAAGTATACGCCTTGTATCAGCGCACACAGGAAAACAACCTTAGTTTAATCATTACATTCAAAACGACCCATACAATTACCCAATATATTCACCTGTTTTGCAGCATAATAACACTAAGAGATAACAAATATAGAAAATCAGAAACAATCTAAGAAGACTATATTGCATACGTAAGGATATGAATAATGTATGCTAAAGGTAGTGACATATCATGCAAACATATATATGATATTGATTGAAATGTATTATTTTCAGCAATTGAAATTATTGAAGTACCTTAGAATGGTGTCCACGTTCAATTATCAAGTATTTATTTATGTATGTATCTTTTTTAACAACTTGTACTTTCTTGATAGCTGTGGCGTAATAGCGTTCTGAAGTTGGCATTGCTGATTGCTTCTTCCAAAATTGTCTTTGCAAATGTTTTTCCATCTTTCGTAAACGCTGTTCAATTTTGAATCAGTAATGTCTGAATTGATGTACTGTTTGTGGTTGATATTTGCTGATGTTAATTCACGTTTAGAGAGCACGGCGTTCAGAAGGTGTATGCATTATCAAATAGCCCAATAAGTTAATTTCAGTTATTGTTGTGAGAATTTGTTTAACATTTCTTTCTTCTTTTTTCAAGACTAAAATTCGATTTACTAAAACTAGTCAAATGTTATCTAAGACACTAATTAATACTTTTATTGCTCCAATTACGTTGTTACTGATCCGCATAGAAATGACAAACTGCGCATGCGTGCATAAACATAACCCTCATTATATGATTTGACATTTCACAAGTACAATGTGCAGACGATATGAACCCAAGTAATTTAACAACCTGACGAATATCACAAAGCTACTACGAATACTTCATGTCAACTTTTCAAACAAAAAAACTTCAATATAGCTATAATTTTATTTGCCAGGGGACAAACAGAGTTCACTCGCGTCAGCTAAAAAGACACACTTCAAAATAGTATCGTTTTCAACTCAACACACAATATCCTTCCGCAGTACATGTCAAACATCTTTCCTGAAAAGAGTGAATTTGTAGAAGAATGGGACAATACCATTTTTTTCTTTATTGGACGGTTTTGTTTTATAATGGATTGCCAGATAGTGATAATTTGTATTGATGCGATAGAATTTAAACAAGGTATATGGTAATGGCCACTTTTCCACCTGCTACACAGTGTGTCCCGGAAGCGGCGACGACGCATTTACAACCTTGGCGGATAAAGAATGCATCATTAGGCGGTCAATTCCAACAAACAGTTGAATTATCTCGACGTCATCAACTTGGCGTGATGTGACGTGGCGTGACGTCACTACCTTAGTTTATAATAAATTTTACTATGAAAACAATTTCACTTACCTATCTCAGATAATCACATTGCACTAAAAAAATGCTCTAACTGACTGACTATTTGTTTTTTCGTTGGGCATTCTCAGGACAAACATGCATCTAGTGTGTAAGTGCATTGATTTACTAACTACATATTTGCATAAGGTACAGCTGGGGTTAGATACCACAGACCGTTGTTGTAACTATTGAAAGAAATAGTGCACAGCACGAAAAACACATATAGTATCCCGAGTCGCTAAGAACGCGAGTTTTTTTTTGTTGACGCGATGGAAGATACTTTAGTACAATCTGAATTTAAAAAAAATACACATTTATGTTCATCATAACAGTTTTGTAAGACTTTGAGAAATTTAAAAAAAACATAAGCTGTACATAAGGAGCCTTATCTCTGGAATGATTACGCCATACTCAAGTATCATAGTGCAATTTTCGAAAAAATATATAAAAACCTAACCCTGTAAGAAATCATCAACGTTCGGCTTAGAGGTGTGCCACATGAAAAAATATGAATGATTTCGTAAAATTAAACTAATTTTAGAATGCATCAGTGAAACAGCTATGTAAAATGCTTTTTTTATATCAACTTAGCTTTAAACAGACTTCAGAATTCTCACATGATTAATTAAAACATGATTCCGGGCACATCGTCCGTGCTATATTACACTATTTATTGCTCATCAACTGAATGTCCCCTCTTATTTCACACGAAAGGCCACGCACCGTGTACGTGTGCGCCACTTGGAACACAATAATCACTTTGTTAAGGTGTGAAACTGAATCTCTCGGCCAATCACTTCTGTAGTGAATGACTTGGAGTCGTCCCCAGCTTTATAATGTATTATTGGCACAGGTATTTAAGTTTCAAGCACACTAAAACGTTAAACACGTTTTTCACGGTGTCATATACCTTTGATTATATTGCAAATATATGTTTTACATTTGTTACGGATAGAAAATAAAAGAATATCTCTACATTTGCTTGCCAATTCGTCAAAAACCGATGTACATTATAAGAACCCGGATAATTAGTAACATGTTTAACCTGTTTTGAACTTCAACAACAACTGTTTGTTTTGGAGAGTGGGATGGGAGTTCATTGAGAAATTCACATTAATAGTGAATGTGTACCCTCTATAATATGTGAACTGTTGAAGAACATGCATAATGTTTATTCCTTTCTTCGCCATTTTTTTGCATCCCCGTGTTCACGTACGTACGTGCGTGCATTCTAAAACACTGATGGCGTTCGGAACGGTGCCACATATACTATTATGAACGCGTATGCCCATTATGCATTTGTATTGATAGAGTGTATACACTTTGATTTCTCGCATGTGTGTTTCTCTCCATATAAGTATGAAAACTAAAGGCAAAATAGCGTTCGTTTTTGCAATGACGCATTTTCACAGAAAACACCTCGACACTTACAATATCGAATACTACTCATTACATCGAGATTCTGTGCTTTGATTGGTCAAAGTCACAATTGATCACAAGTCACGTGGGGTTACACAATTTTACATTCTGCATCATCACCGAAGGTCACAATATCATAGATCAATATTTGAGAACTTAAACTGTCAGTCCAAAGGACAACTGCTTATTTTTGT